TCCTGCCAGTCTAAGGAGCAAGAGACTGGCATGAACAATCAGTTTCTTTTCTACTTAAAAGGGAACACACACACACACACACACACACACACACACACACACACACACACACATGCGCGCGCGCGTGCGCACACACACACACACACACACACACACACACACACACACACACACACACACCTGTTTTGCAAAGCTTTCGAGGAGGAGAAGAAAGAGGATGAGGAGGAAGAGGAGGAGGAAGGAGAAGGAGGAGGAGGAGAAGAAACAGCAACTGTTGTAAAACCAGATGCATGACTTGCACATCCCCTCTCCTCGAGCACATTTTACTAAAGTATATAATCCAATAATCCAGTTAATTTCTTTGGAGAGATGTTATATATACAGGTGGCATTTGGATGGAATCACAGGCCGTAAACCTGTCCACTCCTATCCTGGTTTAGGATACAGAGGAAGAACCTGTTTTACAGGCTTCCTAGAATTTTAACATGGTCAATTGCCTGGCTTTTGTATTCTGGAACATATCAGAGCATTCCACGCGAATATATATATATATATATATATATATATATATATATATATATATATATATATATATATATATTCTATAAAATGGTGGCAGGATTTCTGATTTACCTATAGGGCTGGTTTGAGTTTCCCCCAAAATATTTAGCTATGGGACAATGTATTAAGTGTATTCTTAAAGGTAAATAACTGCGGCCAATAAAAGCTGGGCCCATAAAGGGTCCCATCTTCTACTAGTTTTCTGCACTGAGAATTACTACTAGTGTAATCATGGCTCCCTGCACACTAATATTTCCTCTGATACAGTATGATCAATGTTGTGGAAAAACATTTATTATATTTCTTCTAGCTACTTAAAGGCATTACTGAATTATGGGCATCGCAAAACGAATCCACTGTGCATTTTTTCTTTATGTGACGTTTTTACAATCTTCATTTTCTGCTTTGCAGCCACTGAGCTATAGAGATCCACACTCCGTCCCTCTGACAACTGCCTCTGTGGCCCCCTTCTCCTTCCTGCTTTATTACGTCTGAGAAGTACTTCATATGATAACCTTCCCTTTCACTCTGGGCTGGACCCGTATTGGCGGGGAGGACGTAATGAAAGAGATTAAACAATCAGTGTTGTTCGTGACACTTCCTAATCATTCCCTTAACAAAGGTTATGAAGTTTCGGCTGAGAAAAGGACGAGGGGCGGAGATGGTATTTTACAGAATGGTTCCGGAAGACCTGATAGACTTTGAACGGTCGTGGGCTGTGCGGTTTTGACATTTAACAATTTTATTAACATCTTTGCTTATTATTCACCTTAATCTGCAGGGTCTGCAGCCAGGAATGAGTGTGTCCAGCTAACAGCCCGTGTCTCAGGCCCTGCCAGGGGATGAATCAATTAGCAGGAGAAGCCATGATGCAAACGTTCTGGGGTCACTTGGGAGGCTGTTTGCCTTTTTGATAGAGAAAGCACACCATAAATAACATCACACCTCAGGAAATCATTCCAGGAGGCCCAGATGCTGGCAGGCTGCTGCTGGGACAGAGGGAATCGTTGGCTCCTTGTGTGTATTTCCCCCATCCCAGTCAATGGAAGATTTGTAGTAAAATCAAAATATTTTAAAGGAGGACAGTGTGTGGTAACAGAGGCATGTTTAGCCATTTTTTTTAGTACCAGAACCCATGATTTATGACCTACAGTTACAGCCAACTTTATTACAAAAATGACTTCACCCATAATAACCTTATTCAGGGCTTATTCAGGGCTCCTTGGAGAATGATGTAGTACCCCAAAGCATTATAATCTAACAAATATTCACAAACAATTCCGACTGCTGTCCCTTTCCTCCACCCACTCGGAGGCGGGGGTCTGCCTTTACCTGCCGGGTGAAAGAGGTCCCGGGCAAGGTTCGACGGTCTTACTGTAGATTTGCCAGGCTGGGTGATTCAAATCACCCAGGACAGAGGCTGTCTCCCAGCTTTCAGCCTCACCTTCCCCTTCCGGTGCCCTGGGGAACAGCAAACAGGACCCACTCACCTCACTTCCTCCCTGCACATGCTTGTCTCCCTCCCCCCCCCACCTCCCCAGAACTCAGATACCCAGCATCTGGGGGCAGCTTCATTAAGTCCCCTCCCTTTTTAATTGCCATGGTAACCGACAGCTGCATTAAAATGTCCAGAGCTGGGTGTCCAAGCAAGGTCCCTTGGGTGTGCCGGGATCTAGAAACTGGTCCTTCATCTCATTAAACTCAGGTGTCAGTCCCGAGCAGTTGTGTTAAATTTATACCCTCCAAGCGGGTTAGTGGGATTACATGTCCATTTGCATTAAAACAGGTTTCTGTCATTAAACTGCCATACAATAAGCTTCCTTGGGACAAATTAATGAGCTCTAAATATCATCAAGTACAAGTTCACTTCACCAAGACAGGGTTGCAGGGGTGGCTGTTCACTCTCCTCACCCAGGAGAACCATAAGTGCCAGCTGAAGAAGGGTCCCATCCTGCTTCTCCAACGCAAGATGAATGTCGGGGTTTAGAGCCCTCTGAGGAGCTGAATTCTCCTCTCCCCAAGCCCTAGAGCTCCTCACTTCCTGTTCCTTATTCTAGACATACAGTTAGCATTGACCTTGTCTGCTGAAAATCACTGAACACCCATTGGCTTCTCTCCTGTGTGGTACTGTCTCAGCTTCATTTTTCTTACCTTGTTTTCTGTCTGTCTTTGGGGACCATCTACATATAGTATGGACTGGGAACAGCATGCATACAACACCATACCAGTGCCAGGTGTAGCCACAGTGTGTGTCTCTGCTCTGAAATGCCCTCCTGAGTATTTGTTAGTGGACCATTTGGCCCATCAGTTGTGGGGTCTATCCTCTGGAATGCTGGTCCCAAGGAAAGGAGCTCCTTTCCCAGTTGTCAAGAGGATTTTTTTTAAATTACATTTATTTGTACGTGTATGTGTGTGTATGTGCATGAAAGCACACAAACCCATGTACCATGGCATGTTTGTAGAGGTCAAAAGACAGCTTAGAGAAGTTAGTTCTCTATGTGGATCCTGGGAATCGAACTCAGCTTGCCACACTTGGCAGCAGGCACCTTTGATCACTGAGCCATTTTGTAATCCCCTAGGAGAGACTTCTTTTAAGGCTGTATTCACCCAGTTCACAAGCACAGCCAATGCTTGCCCTCACAAGTGCAAGATGGGTATAAATAGAAATTATTTATCAATAACCAATAAATAAAGCTCCAAGCCTTTTCTTATGCAGAAGAGGTAAGACAGGCTACTAGATGGACTTTCTGCATTACACTGTGAGCTCATTTCTGTGTAGCCTTAACAGGGGACAGTAATGTATGATTGAGACACCGCTATATTTAGGAATGACAAGATGGGCATTATTAATAGCTTAATTGACATTAAGGCAATTACCCCTACCCTTATTACAGTTTGTAGAATTACTCAGAAAATATTGGCTGAGGCCTTTCTTTCCCTAGAGCTACTGAAGGATACAGCATTTTATTTCATGCCAGATCTCGGCTTTGACATTAGATACTTAGCCATAGAATGATTCCAGTAAATCATTATAAATGCATTATAATAAAGATGTTATGAGCTATCAGATATTAACCCCCAACCCCTAAAGAGAGATAAATAGTTCAGTTGCATGGATCCCACTTTTGTTTCATAAGAAATAAGCTTTTGCAAAGAGCAACTGACTAATGAATTATAAAATGGTGTGTTGAGCTCAGATAATTAAACAATGCATTTTAGTGTCTAGTGCAAGATGAACACTAAATCATACACAGATAAAAAAAAAAGGGGGGGGGCTCTAAGCCCAGGCCCAACTCCTAGTATCAAATACAGTTAAGGTTGGTCTATAGTGCAGAAATGCCTCAGACCTTTTCTCACCAAATATAAGATCAAGATACAAATGGATAAACCCAACCAAGAGACAGAACAAGAATTCTGGAGGTGCTAATTTCAGATAAGCCTACAGGGCTATTTTAAAGGAGATTTTACAGGGAGATTACTTTTTTATCCCCCAAAGTTCTAATGGACCAAAAATGTAAGAACCTAAAAGTTTCTAAGTTTCCTCATACTTTCCAACTTTTCCTTTTGATCTCTGAACTCATAGTGAGACCTATTAGTAGGGTTTGCAGACGAGGATAAGAGCCGTGGTGTTGATGGCTGCCATGGCCTTGCAGCTTTGCAAAGACAGAGGCATGTACTCAACGCTGTTGTGGAGATGGGGTGAGGAGGCCAGACTGAGTTCCAACCATTATGCTCAGGTAGGGTTCTACACCCAGCAAGGACATTTTTCTCTGGCTTGGCCACTCAGGTTGATCTGTTAAATGTGTGTTTTAGTCACCTAGCCTTGAGATAGCTTCTTGTTCACTGATCAAGCTTCATACTTCTAAGAACTTGAAGTCAGAATGAAGGGTGGCCTCAGATTACTCAGATTGACCACCTGACCACCTGTGCTAGTGGACAGGCCTCTACAGACTCCAGGCCCATGGTGAAGGACTCTGCTGTTTCCTGTGCTCTAGCTAGTCTGGACACCGCAACCTGATCCTTCCTCCACATCGCAACCTCTTTCTAAAGTTTATGTCTACCCATTGCATCACGTAGACATAAATAAGTTGGGCCACATGAAGATCTATTCATGCAAAATAATTATTACAAAGTAAGCCCACAACTATATGTTATCTCTTTTTGTTTTATTGGCTCATATTTTTTCTTATCCTATGTCTTTCCTTACTCTTTCTCTTCCCACCTAAACCCTACTACCCCCCCCCCAGACACACTATCCTCCCACACTACCGAACACACACACAGACTACCCCCCACACACTACCACACACACACACACTACCCCCATACACACAGACTCTACCCCCACACATACACTAATCCCCCACACACACTACCCCCCCCCCACAAAAACACATTTGTAAATCTATGACATGAGAAATTCTGCCAAATTTACTCACATATTCCTCATTGGGTCTTGAAGAGGGTTGTTTGTGGTACACATCCTATAAATGCTACTCAACCTAAGCAACATTAGTCATTACAGCTACTGGTAACAGTTAATGTCTTCTGACTGCTTAGGATAAGCCAGGCAGTATGCTGAGTATCATCAGCTTGTTAAATTTTCACGAGTATATGAGGCAAGTGCTATTTTAATCTTCATCTTATGGGAAATTAAAGCTTGAAGATGTTATGTAACTTGCCGAAGGTCATCCAAGCACAAATGGGAAAAGCCAGGCTACACACCCAGAGTCAGCCTGGAGTTGGAGTCTCAGTTTTTTTAGACTGACTTTGTCAGTTTTATCTTCTTTTAGACTCTCCTCATCAAGGGAAGTCATGAGCACATACCACTCTTAGCTGTAATACCCTTAGGACCTTGATCTTTTGGGGTTCCAGAAAGTCCAAAAGGGCAACCTAGTTTACAATTGCCCAAAAGTTACTTAGTTTAAAAACTCCTGGGACTTTATATAAAACCACCCCAAAAGACTTTTCTGGTTGCATACAACATTAATTTCATTTTGAAAGACTGTGTCTAAGGGAAGTGACACACCTCGGTTAGTTATTCAGTCCTGTCGTTCTTGACACCCTGGAGGGTTGGCAGCCTCGCTCCACCACATGTCACAGGAGAGAGCTAATCTCCCAGCCTTGCTCAGAACACTGGTGCTTCCTAATGACCCAACACTCACAAACCCCATACCTTCCTTAATTGAAGGAGTAAATGAAGGGGAAGGGGTAGTCCAACCTTAGGGATGAATTAGTTTAGCAATTTAAGATTGGTGTGTTATCAGATAAAAGGGCAGGTGTGAGTTTGATGAAAATGTTGCCTTTGGAAACAAGGGTTCATGTGAGGGTTTGTGATGAGGTTGTGAGGGGTCTCTGTAGCAAAAAGACGCATCTGTGAAATGGGCCAGCAGAGAGGTTTGCTTCAGGCCTGCCTCTGATTGTTCCACATTTGTGTTTCAAAGCACAGCAGCTGGACTTCTTCTCCACAGTCTTCCCGTCGCACATGGTTCAGATTCTGACTAAGTGCTGTGGATAGTCACTGCTGGTGTCCCGGAGCCAGGCACTCTGTCCTTCGAGGCTTATAGCAGCTAAACAATTCGGCTCCTTTGCAGTTGGACAAGCCAGTGGTCTGCTACCAATTTGAATGGGGCTACTGTGTGTCACCTAGAGTCCAAAGCATGTCACAGAAGACCCTCAAGCTCTCTCTCTGCAGACATGACTTTGGCAGTACATGTTCAGGGGACTGAGAGCTTGACAGCATGGATTCCTGAAGGATTTAGTGGAGCTGAGTTCTCTGCAGCCCCATGTTGGACACACAGCATCAGCAAGAAGTGAACTTCTATTAGACTAAGTGCTGACACTTGGGGTTGTTTATTACAACTGCAAAACCCAGCCAATCCTGACTAATCCAGGAGCTGACTTTTTGTTCAGAAATTATGGACCTTCTTACCAAGTCATAAACCGTTATTCCTTTTCCAATAGTTTTATTCACTCACTGAACAATTTAAACTTTTCATCCTCTTGACATACTCTCAGATGCCTAAAATCGCCAGAGAGCCCTTGAATTGTACCGAGTGGTGTCTTGTCTTTTACCATCGACAAGTACTGTTACCTACACTAAGTAGAAGAACAGAAAAGGACAAGTTTGGTTTTTCAGCATCACATGGGATCGTGTGATAATGAAGGGGAGAGGAAACGTGAAGAGGAAAGAGAATAAGATAGAAAAGATTTTTTTTTTAAATGTAGGTGGGAAAAGAAGAGAAAAGAGCAACACAAAACATCGGCGTTTTCTTTGCAGTCAGCTGTAGCCAGCAGCTTGCAGGTAGTTTCCAGGACTGGTGGCAGCTCTCAGCATCTTTGACCTTCAACATCTATACATCCAGCTTGCCTTGGTACTCAAGAAATGTTGGCCGAGAGGTTAAAGGAACACATCTCCCCTGTTTACAGTCCTGGAAGCCTATAGAGCTAAGTGGTCTCTTGCTGTGAATGTGTGCTCCATCACACACTGAGAGGCGCTACAGAAAGGGAGAAGAGAACTAGAAAGAAGTGGGTTTGAATAGCTCCTCATAATCTTTAAACCCAAGCCCTTGAAAGGAGCAGCTATGAGGTGAGAGCAGTAATTCTTTGTCCTAGAAACAGGACATTGCTGATAACTCAGGGCAGTCCGTTTTTAAAAGCTCTTCAAAGAAACTGGTTAGAGTTGTCCTTGTTTTGTTTGCTTCTGGCTGGGCAGAGTGGAGGGTACAGTGAGCACGGAGGTGTCTACGACCTTGAGGTGGGGAGAGGCAGAAGAAGGGGATCTGAGTGCAATTTGCTGAATAACTACTTTTCAACACTGTACTTGGTACGAGGAATGCAAATGTGCTGTAGGGTTGAAAAGGAAAAGATGTGATTCACTCTCCGGATAACGCACCTGGGAACCCTTAGTAGATTATTCAGCTGGTTACAGGATAATTCCCCTTATCTGAGATCTGCAAAATGCCTGTGGCAAAGCTGCCTCCACGCCCCCATTCAAGGATTCTCCCAGGCAAAGCAAATAGGACCCAGAAGGGAGCTGAACCTTTCTCTGATGGAAAGCACATATCCGGATTGCTAGTCTGAGAGACTGTTCCGTGACGGCATGTCTGCATGGGTGTGCACACAGCCTGCAAGGATCAGATGCCCAGCCTTGACATGAAGATGCAAAGCACAGGACGAGCTGACAGCTGCTGCATACTAGCTGCATGAGGCTAGCTGCAGCATCCAACAGGCAGGAGAAGTGAACCAACCTTGCGTCACACAGAAACACAGGAGAGGCAGTGGTCCATCCCAGCAAGGTCCAGTTTGAAGGAAAACAGAAATCTCTCAGCTTGAGCCTCTCTTGGGGATGAACACTAAACTCCCTAGTTGAAATCCATCATTTTCTATCCGCCATAGCAAACCGCATTCCTCTCTTTTTTATCAGAAGAATAAATATTCTCTTCCTACCCTAGCTTGAATACCCCAAATCAAGAGCTTTGCTTCTGCTTTCCCCTTTGTCCTGATGAGCTTTAAGTCATCTTGGCACATGCTGAAGCCACCTGAGAGGAAGGACTCTCAACTGGAAAAAAAAAAATGTCTTCATAAGATCAGGGTATAGGTAAGCCTGTGTGGCACTTTCTTAATTAGTGAGTGATGGGGAAGGAGTGAGGGATACCTCTGGGCTGGTGGTCCTGGGTTCTATAAGGAAGCAGGCTGAGCAAGTCAGTAAGCAGCACTCCTCCATGGCCTCTGCATCAGCTCCTGTCTCTAGGTTCCCGCCCCGTTTGTGTTTCTGCTTTGATTTCCCTCAGTGGACTGTGATTCAGGAAATGTAAGCCAAATAAACCCATTCCTCCTTAAGTTGCTTTGGGTCATGCTGTTTCATCACAGCAATAGTAACCCCAACTGAGACAGACTCTTCATTCAAACCCTTACCCTTAAAAAAATGCTTCTTGAGTTTCCTCTTGCCTTCTCCTTGCCTCGGAATATACCTAGGTAGTGTATCTAACCCTCAGTCATTGCCTTCCTACAGGAAACGTAAGACACACAAATAAGAAATACTAACTGTCCCATAATCCAACAGAAATGATGAATGCTGCAGTAATAACAGTTCTAAGAGCTGGAGAGTTTGGGTTTCACATAATTTTGTTGTTATTAGTCAAATGAATTTGTTAAAATTATGTTATACAGACTTCTGTTGAAAGGGGGTCTCACTGGGTAGCTCAGGGTGGCTTCAAATTCATAATCCTCTGCCTCAGCCTCTGAAGTGCTGAGACTGCACTTCCATAGCCTCTGACTAAATGCTAATACTACTTAGAAGCTGATAATCTCCCCTTTTGACCTCTTTTCTCCCTACTCAAGCGGCTGGGCGTATCTGTACTCTTCAACTCGGGGAAGGAATGGGAGAGCATTCAACAGAGGTCATCTCTTCCTGACTTGTATATTTAAAGCCCAGCCCCTGGGCAAAGCAAGTGTAGAGACAAACATTGGCTTTACTCCTCCATCTGACTCCTCATTGATTTGAGAGAGAATTAGAGGACAGCAACGGAAGCAGAAATGGTCCATGCTTTCCACAGATGAGGACCTGGGGGTTGCAAGGTTCCTGTCCTAGTTTATGGGAATGGAGATGAAGGAATAAAGCTTGGAAACTGATATGGTTAATGGGGTGTCATTTTATAAAATCAAAATTCTAGAAAAAGTTTTACAGGCATAAATAAGCAATCCATAGATAAACATTGCAGCACTACTTTCAATGGGGAAAAACAAACTTTCAATAGCCTAAATGACCATCGATAGGAGAAATAAATAAAAGGTGGAGTTGTGTTGGGTATAGATTATTGTATAGCAATAAAAATAATGGTTAAAATAATAGGAACAATTGGAATTTAGACCTCAGACTCTTAACCACTAACTCTAAAGAGTTAAGGTGGAAGTGCCTCGTTTGTGGGTGGAAAGAATGAAGGGTACGATAGATGGTTTTGTGAAAGCAGGCTGTTGTTTACACTTCCAACCTGGCCTTTTGCCTATGCAGACATGGGATGCCCCAAGTTCCGCAGCATAATTCTTTAGTCTCTTCTAGGAAATGGAAAGACGTCCCCCGACACGCCCAATGCTGGCACAGGAACAAGCAGTAGAGGATAACACTGGGGAGAGAATGAGATGTTGCCCTGGACTTTGAGGTCTCAGCCTAGGTGAAGAACAGAATCGTAGCACAAACCATGAAGAGCAACACACAGTTCTCGCGGCTGCCTCAGTTCCCACATTTACAGCTAAGCACCTCAGGCGCTTTCCTGGTTCTCCATCTTCTCACTAACAAACAAGAGGTCCAGCTAGAAAGAACTATCACCTTCAAACTGTCCTTGCTACAAATCTAAGTTTTAACTCCATAATCTACACTGTCTATTTCACTGGTATAATCTACACCTATAAAAGAAAAAAAAAAGTTTCTCATCGAGTTTTCCCAAATCTTTTGTTGATGTCCAAACATTTTCTGATTGTCCAAGCCGAGAGGTCACATAGGATACTGTTTTCTGACATGATATTTAATTTCTAACATTGCTATCCACTTACAGGAATAATCTCTGAGCCTTCTAGATAGTT